CTTATGCATATTCCGGACGTTTTTATCTTTGAAAAAAAAACAAGGGCATTTAGAACTTAAGAAATTTAACAATATTTTACATAATCTTGTAGATCTCGACAAGCTGCATAAAACTTACAATTTAAAAAAAAAAAGAACTATATTTCACTTACGAGTTCAATTAAAAAAACGTTACCAAAAAATTCGAAACACTATGCAGTGCATGTTAGTTCAGATTCCATTAGAAACGTTTGGCAAAAATCAAAGCTGCGAAAATAAAATGTTTTTTTTTTATAGTAAAAAGTCACATACACGCGCATGCTTTTAATGATCAGACTTTTTAATACAAAACCATTCATTTAATTTCGGATTTTTATTCACTAGATAACAGATTACATTTGCATTCAAAAACATTTATAAATTCAAATAAAAATTATATCTCATTAATAAAAATAAACAAGTACCACAAAACCATTTATTTTTAATTTGTAAATCACTATTGAGCACCCCGTCTAATTATAGTTCCATTATGTACTTTAATATGTATAGATACTTAATATGAAGAAAATCCGAATTTACCAAAATTTTGCAAATTTAAAGTTTTAGCATAAATCTATGCATAAATATGCATAAATCAAGTTATTTCATGAATAAATACTTTAACTTGTATGAATGTTCTTTATATATAGCCGTAAAAATTAAAAGCCTAAAAAAATATCCGGAAAACACAATATATGTAATAAAAATTGATGATGTAGTTTTTGCATGCTAAATTTTGTTGTTATTTTAGTGAATGTATAAATTGAAACATGCAATTGGAAACGTAAGGGAAGTTTAAATAAAGGCAAAGAAAATAAAATATTTATATATATTTCTGTTTAAAAAACACACAATGGAAATTATAAAAAAAAATATATGTACATTACAAAAACTACTAATAAATAAATTTGAAATTTTTGTTTCCCCCCGCCCACCTACCCCTACTCCTTCCATAGCCCTGCCAAACAAAGGAGGAATCGTCTGCACCCCCATTTTCGGCCCACCTCCTATACGACTTAGTGGTAATAGGCCCACGATTCCGTCTCCTATAAGCTCTGTAAACGTCGTAGGAGGTATCTAAAAAAATTATTATTATAAGATTTGCAGGCTGTCAAGTCGTCATTTTTTTCATTTTTTTTTGGGTTCTTTTTTTTTTCTTTATTTTTTTTTATTTTTTTCTTAGTTTTTGTCATTTTTTCATTTTTTTCTTGAATTTTTTACACTTTGAAGTTTTTTTTAAATGCTTAGAATTGCTGTTTTTGATATTTTTAAGTTGTTTTAGACATTATGTTACTTAGTTTTTTATTTAATTTTCAAAACTATTTTATAATAACAGTTACAATCTTTTATGTTCACATTTTAATTTTAATTATCCATTTGTATTGCTAAATTGGTGTTATTATTTTAAAAAATAAATCATTCTATAGTATAGAACTAGTAAAGTTAGTGATTTTTATATTTAGTTTTTAGTATATTTGTCAATAGATTATATAGTATAATGGTTAAGTGGAATGATGTGTGGTTGGAAAAGTTAGACAAAAATCTAGTAAAAATCCAATTATGGGCTGAAAAAAGAAACTCTGAATATGCTATCTGTAAACTATGCAAAAGTGATTTAAAATTCAGTTCAGTTGGTTTCCAAGCACTATATCAGCATTCTTCAAAACCTAAACATAAGTCAGTGCCTGATCTAAGATTTTCAAAAACTGCTCGTCATTTATATGTAGATTCTAACAAAAACTCGATTGGGGGAGAAAAAGTTATACAATTAGAGTTCTCCATAAATGAAAAAATTTCTGCTGCAGAAGCCATGTGGCTTTTTAAAGTGGCAGAGAATGATCTTGCCTTAAGACATTGTGACAACACTAATATTGTTCCAAAGAATGTTTCCAGATAGTAAAATAAGTCAAGGTTTTACTATGAGTCGGCAAAAAGCTTCATATATTTTGCAAGATGGCCTTGGGCCATTGTTGGAAAAGCGTTTATGTAATAGTATCGCATTAAGTCAAGGTGCATTCACTTTAATGTTTGATGAAACAACTACTTCACAACAAAGCAAACAAATGGATCTTTTATGTCGTTTTTGGTCAGAAGACGAAAACCAAGTTGCTACAAAATATTTAACATCGCTGTTCTTTGGCAGAGCAACAGCAGAAGATGTCAAAACAATGCTAGCAGATTTACGTCATAATGAAAGGTTTTATATACCATGGGATCGTCTTTTTAATATTTCAGCAGATGGTCGTAATATTAAAAAAGCCATTTGGAGATTGTTAAATGCTGATCTTCATAGTAATGGTTTTAATGGCTTGTTACCATTTGTAAGTTGCACTTTGCACACAGTGCATAATGGTTTTTGAAAAGCAATTAATGTTGTCGGTGAGGATGCTGAGCAGCTTGCATTTGATTTACATAACTGGTTCAAGGTAATGATTTGTGTAATTTTATAAAGTAGAATCCCATTATTTCAGACCCTGGATAAGTTGGATTTGTACTAAGTCGGACAGATTTTCAATTCCCTTTAAGCTTTCGATACATACAAAAAGCTAAGCTTGTTTGGACATTCGCTAAGTCAGACTATTTATCTATTTCCTGTGAGAGTCTAACTTAATGGGATTTTACTGCAGTTAATACTAAAAGAGAATTTTTTATTTTACCTATGAAGTTATTTTTTTTACATTATTATTATTTTTTATTCTAATAGTCTATTATACGACTAGCTAATAAAGTGTCGTGTCTCTATAATTTTTTTCTGTTTTAGAATGGACCCTGTAAAATAGAAGATTTTAAAAAATTATCAGATTGCATTTTTATTGAAGATGAAACATTGTTTCTTCGTTTTGTCAATACTAGATGGCTCACTCTTTCTTCTTTACTTATAAAGGTTCTATTAAGGTGGGAAGACACCAAGAAATATTTTTTGGAATATATTCCAAAACAAAAGGAGTATAAAAAGACACATACAAACAACAAGCGTTATATTAGAAGTCTTAGGGAAACTGAAAATGCAATTAAAGTTATTCTTCTTATTATTTTTTTTTGAATTATTACATATAATAGAGAATTGATTATTTTAGGAGTTACTTGTGTCTATCAAATTCCTTATTGGTTTAGCTCCCTTGTTTGAGAAATATTTGACAATATTTCAAGATGAAGGACCACTTGTTCATATTTTATTTTATAAAATGAAAAATCTTTTAATATCTTTAATGAAACGTTTCCTTCAACCGACTGCTGTTAATGGAAAGCTTACTAAAGATCTTTTAAAAATTGATTCTTCTGATTTAACTATCCACCTTGATTTGAATAAAATGGACTTTGGCGAGGAAGCTAAAAACCAGGTAATTTTTGATAGGTACACATTTGCTACATTTACCAGTTGCACATTTACTACCTGGTTAATGTGTACTTGGTAATTATGTATAAGTGTACTAGGCAATATAAACTATTTTGTTTATTGTGTTATTCATTAGATATTTTATTATTAAAAATTAAGTTTTTTTATTCATTTTCATTGAGGCAGATTTTATTAATATAATTAAAATAGCAGAGTACATTAACCATATAAATATATTATTTAACATTTTCAAAATTTACTAATTATTATTTTAATTTACAAATCAGAAATTGTTGTTTGTAAATTATTAGTTAACGAACTATTTTAATTTTAATATAATTAAATTTTCCTTTAATTTTAAATGTTAACACTTTCTCCATAACAATTTTATCTTAATTTTTGTACAGGTATCATTTGTGAAAGATGAATGAAAATTATACCAAGCAGCTAACATATCAAAAGACTGGTATATAGATTTTGATACAAAAAAACTAAAAAGAGTAGACCATTATTGGGCTAAAGTTTTTGAAAGTAACAATGAATATGGAAAAACAAAGTATGGGTATCTCAGTAAAGTTGTTAAGAGCTGTTTAACAATTCAGAATGGAAATGCCAGTGCTGAGCGAAGTTTATCTGATAACAAAAATACATTAACTCCTGAGAGAGTAAATCTAAATGATGAAACATTAATGGCTTTGAGAATATCAAAAGAATATGCAAGAAGTTGCAGAGGAGCATATAATGTTGATGCACTCTCCAAAGACTTTGTTCAAGCTGTTCAAAATGCTCATAAAATATATAAAAAAAGAAAAGCTGAAGAAGACGAAGAAAAATGAAAAAATTATATTTATGAGCAAGAACTAATGAATAAAAAAAAAGAGCAGAAAGAAATGCTTGAAAAAGTTGAAAATCAAAATAAAAATTTAGATCAACAGGAAAAAAGTCTAAAGAATGATGGAAAAAATGCAGATCTTGAGTTTCAGCTTGCTCAGAGATACTCGATGAAGCAGCAAAATCCATGCAAAGTGCCATTATTAAGGAAGACATGATGGGTATAAAAATTGCCCATGAAATGGTAAACAGCGCAAAAAGAAGTCTTGAAAATGCTACATCTCATAGAAATAAACAGAAAAAGTTGAGAGAAAATATTGGTTTAAAACGTAAAAGTGAAATGGATAGATTAATTAAGCGTTGCAAAAAGTTAAAGTAGTCGTTAAAAGTTTGATAGTTTTTGTAAATATAATAGAGCTTGAACTGTTAGTTCAGTTATAATTATTTAGCAAAATTTATTTATTTATGTTAATTATTTTAGACTTTAGAAAAAACGTTTTATTCTGTGTTAAACAACAAGATGTCGAGGTTTTCATTTTTAAAAGAAATTATTGATGGCGGATGATTTTGTTTGTTATTTTGTTTGTTATTTTCAAAATAAAATTATTGCACTTTTCATTTTTATGATGAAATCAGTCATTTTTTTTTCATTTTTTGTCATTTTTATTCTCAAAATACCGTCATTTTTTGTCATTTTTTTCGAAAGTTGCTGCTTGACAGCCTGGATATGTTAAAATTTGGAAAAGGAATAGTTAAAACTATGTATTAAGTATATCAATATAAAAATATATAAATAAATATATATACTTTTACCGGTTGCTGCAGGCGTTGAAGCTAAAAAATTAAATGTGAAATTTATTTTAAAGTAAAAAATCTAGTTTTTGGAGATAATGAAAAAAAAAAAAAACTCTTTACTATCTATATTTATCAAAAATTTAAACAATTACATTTGAACACTTTTATATTGAAATTTATATTGTAATAAATATATAAATATTGAAAACTTTATAAAAGTAAAAATTATGCCATTTTTTTATTTTTTACAATAGATTATTCTTACCTGAAGCCGGTACATTATTTGGCGCAGGTGCTGATACAGGCACTGGTGTATTAGTTAGCGCAGCTAAACATTGGAGTTAATTATAAGCAAACAATAAATTTTAAAAACATTTATTTTATTTTTTAAACATTTAAATTTTAAATAAATTTATTTAACATTTATTGAAAAATTCAAAGAAACGTTAACATCGAGTTCAATTTATTACAATTATGATATATTTAATGTATTCAGGGTAGCCAGCCACATTTTACGATCGAATTCCCTGATTCTTTCCTGACTAGGATAATGAAAAAATGTGAATTTTTTTTAAAAAAAGTGAATGATATAACGCAACAATAGTAATATAATAATAATAGCATAAAAAATTTATTAGGGAAAAACATCACAGCATATCTACATTTCCATAGAAAAATCAATTAAACTGAGTTTTGAAATTTCCCCAGCTTTTGGATAAAAAAAACAAAATCCCTGATTTTTTCTGACCTAAAAAATTTCCCCTTACTTTTCCATGATTTTGTCATTCAGTGTTACTATAAAAGGTTCGTGTAAAATAACGCTAATTTGTTATTCAGATAATCAAATGATTTCAAAATTTATAAAATTGTTTATATATATATATATATATATATATATATATATATATATATATATATATATATATACACACACACACACACCCATATGTATGTATGTATGTATGAATGTATGTAGATATATTTATTAATTTTAATTCACCTCCTCAAGGCCGAGAAGGTCACTACAGACGAGGAGGCTTATTTTGTGGCTATAACCCTCTCTCAACTCTCTAACTCCGAAACACGAACCTTGACGAACAAGGCCGCTGCGCGGAGAAACGAGTTGAGCGCGGTACTACCAGGGTCGTGGTGGGGATCGAACTCGGAACCACTCGTTTATGAAGCGAGCGCTCTACCACTACACCACTACCGCAAAATATATATATATATATATATATATATATATATACACACACACACACACACACAAACACACACACCACAAACACACACACACACTTACATACATATACAGCTTGTTAGCCAGGAAGAAATTTTATATTGCGTTTTTGCAATTACCGGAGTTTTTATTGTTGTTGTTCTACAAAAAAAATGGGAATTTTCTAGAAATTGCCCCAGAAACTCCAAAAAACTCTCACACAAAAGGTCATTGATTTTTGGAAAAATTAAACTTCTTTGGAATTCTGCGTAATGTGGTGGGATTGGGCTAGCTAACACTCTGATATGCACGTGTATGTATATATATATATGTATGTATATATATATATATATATATATGTATATATATATATATATATATATATATATATATATATATATATATATATATATATATATTATCAAAACGTGTATGTATATAAGTATATATATATATATATATATATATATATATATATATATATATATATATATATATATATATATATATATATATATATTATCAAAACGTGTATGTATATAAGTATATATATATATATATATATATATATATATATATATATATATATATATATATATATATATATATATTATCAAAACGTGTATGTATATAAGTATATATATATATATATATATATATATATATATATTATCAAAACGTGTATGTATATAAGTATATATATATATATATATATATATATATATATATATATATATACATATATATATATATATATATATATATATATATATATATATATATATATATATATATATATATATATATATTTATACATATATGTATATATATATATATATATATATATATATATATATATATATATATATAGTATTAAAACAATTTTTATCATTATATAACAAAATACCAAAAAACTTGCAATAAAAATTTATGAAAAATAATAAAAGTGATCTCCGATTGTAGATAACTTTTTTTTTTGAATTTAAATAAATGAACTTTAAATACCTGCCGCCTTTTGTTCCAATTGCCTAACACTTTTTACTAAATAAGTTATAAAAAATATATATTTAACATCGTTAATCAGTGATGTAATCTACAATAAATTAAAGTATATATCTAAAATAATTCAAATATAATTAAAAATAAATCCCTACACAAATTGTCTTTGCTGTTCCACTAAAAAAACAAATCATAATAGTTACAAAAAGAAAATAGAAAAAAAAACTATGTTGACTGTTTTTGAATAAAATTAACATTGTCATTTTAACATCTCAAACAAATATTGATTACAAATTAAAATTATTAAAAAAATAAACATACATATTTCTGTTTGTTGTGCAACTAATGAAAGGACAAAATTACAATTTAAATAACAAGTCTCTGTGTAGATAGTATTAGATTTTATACATGTTACGCTTGTTTTTGGATTGTTCAATTAATTAAATTTTATAAGTTGTTAATAACTACATATAAATATTGTCCATTTTAAAAGAATTTAAGAATGTAAAACTAAACTAAAACAAAACCGAAGTGTTAAGGTTTTAAATTTCTAAGATTGCTATTGTTTACATTATAATTAGTTTTTTTGGAGATAATACGTTATATTAATTGACATCATACAACAAGTTATGCATATAAGAGCAAGTATTAGCCAAATTAATTTAAGATCTCGAAATCCCTGTTAGTTCTAGTAGGTTGTGTACTGGTTTGCTTACTTTTACTTTTGTATTTTTTAAAACACAATATTGATAAAATAATAACTTCATTTAAAACTATAACAGAAGAGATTTACGTTCTATCTTACACAGAACAGTTACAAAGTGTAATCATTTAAAAAAAGAAATGACATAATTGCTATATCAGCAGATCCACAGCTAAACTATTTAAAAAAGTAACTTCATTAACGCCATTTGATGACTATGTCTGGAAACTAAAACTAATTTCCCCATAAGTTAACAGTAAGTAATCTTAACGCTTTTTAACTTTCAAATTCTACTATAACATCTAAAAAAATTAACTGCGAGTTTGGGGAGCTGTCTATCCCACAAACTTGCAGCTATACCAGAGTGGCTGGGGATCTTCAGCCCTGCAGCCACCATACAATAGTTTTTCTCCCGCTGGGTATTTTTAAGTGATCATCAAACTTTCTATATTTTCAGCTCCAGTCCTTGAAAAATATTTAAATTGCAATCATTTCAAATATTTTATTCACTTATTTTGACTAAAATATGATTTGATATTTTTACTCGATTTGGAAAAAGTGTTAGTCGACAAACATAATTGTCGATTTAGTCGACAGTCAAACTTTTTATTAGTCGTAACAACACACCTTTTTATGATAAACTATACATTACAGACTGCCCACTCAATAGAATCTGAAAACTTTAACTATCTCCTTCAGAATTTCATACTCTATCAGATCGCACAAGCTTTTCCAATAAAGTGTTCATATACAATAAGCTTTTCATTCTCTTGCACTTTTTTGCAACCAGTACTATATTATTAACTGACCATCCAATAGCTGAATTTAATGCAACCACTCTCTCATTTACTCAACTTATCTCAACTACACAAGCTATTTTGCTCAAACACAAAAACAATTGTCAAAATCGTTAAAAATACAAGTATTTTTTCTGGCATTATTTACTGGCTCAAATAGAAATGAACGGACAATATTTATATGCAGTTATAAACAACTTATTAAATTTACTTAACTGAGCAATACAAAAACAAGTGTAGCATGTATAAAATATAGATTAACAAAACAAAAAAACTCACCAATACTTTTCAACATTTATTCTCTATCTACAAATAGATATATGAAATTCTATTACTACATCTAAAACTGTTTAATAATTCAATAACATAATATAAAAAAAATATATAAGTGAATATATTTCGTTCTACTTTATAATATATATATCAGTGGTGTACACTGGATTTTGTAGATGTGAGAGTTTTGACCCTTACAGGTATTGTGCAAACTCCAAACTTTTGTATGTTCATGCTTATGTCAAATGAGAATGTTTTGCAAAGAGTTTGGTAATTGGAGCTGGGTGGGCCCAAGAATTGGATTTTTTTTGTCCCCAAGCTCCAATCACCACGACTCTTTGCAAAACATTTTCATTTGACATAAGCATAAACATTCAAAAGTTTGGAGTTTGCACAATACCTGTAAGGGTCAAAACTTAAACATCTAAAAAATCCAGTGTACACCACTAAATACATCCGTAAAAAAAAAAATTTTTAGTCAGCCCATCCTTCCTCCTTCTGGAAATTAATAATGAAGTTTTATCAACAATATCAATTATTATTAACTAATATATTCCTTTTCAATATACAAAATTTAAGTTTTATACCTTTTTTTGATCTTTTACTTTTTGATTGTCTGCGTTCGACTTCTAAAAATAAATAGTATAATAATACAATTAAATAACATAATATATACTTAAATTAGAAAAAATAATTTCTCTCTCTTTATATATATATATATATATATATATATATATATATATATATATATATATATATATATATATATATATATATATATATATATATGTATTTATAAAAGATATACTTGATCTCCTGGATGATCTTTCAGATCTTGATCTAGAAGTTCGAGGTTGTTCTTCCTTTAAAAAAAATCAAATTTTGATTTTCTTGAACAACTGATTCAAATGATTTAATATCATCTTCATCTTATTTTTCATACTTGTAAAACTTAAGTTATTGTCTTTTATTAAATAAGTATTCCTATTGTTGCTTTTGCTCATGTTTTTGCTATTGCTATACTATAGTTAGTTACTAGTTATACTATTTTTTTACTATATTATATTAGTTATACTATTATTCTTTGTTAGTTATTAGTTATACAATACCTCAGTTATATATTAGCAGTTATACTATAGTTAGTTAGTTTATATTGTTATGTTATACTATAGTTGTTATTACGATACTATATTATTATTTGTAATACAAAATAATTAACAATAATCTTAACGTTAATAAGAGCTTAATGGTAGTAAAAAGAACACTAAAAATAATTTAAAAAAACAATACTAATACAACAATGATACCTATAGCCTAAATTACTTACTTTAATTCAAACATTTATGTCAAACAAGTATTTGTTAATCCTTACTTTGCATTAACATGATAATTTAAATAAATAATTGATTGAAAAACAAAACAATAGCAGATTTACAATTTCTTACCAGATAATGAGATTTTATTTGAGTCTGATGATGACATTTTCTAACAACAACAAACAATAAAAGCTTTATTTGTTTTATATAATATAACTATATAACTATATCTAATATTATAATAACTATATATGTTTAATTATAACTTTATATATGTATTAATCTGTTTACCTGAGTTTAAAGACAAATCCTAAACTTTATCTTAAACTTTATTCTGGCGCACGAGGCGATTTTTATGTTTTAATATGGTTTTAAATTACACGGAAATTACGCATGCGTAAACATTTTTCCAGGTCTGCGATTTTAGTAAGATCGGAATTGTACTTTTGAACGACAGGATATAGCACTAACCTAAGCTTGTAGCTCAATAATAACTCCAACTTCTATGTTAAGAAAGCTACGAGTGTCCGGGGACGTCTACCTTAAAAATAAATAAAAACAATCTTTCTGCATACTTTGCTGATAACAAAAGTAATAACAAACTACATTAGCATTGGTTTCACTGGCAAAATTTAGCACACACATTTCAAGTATTTACTTTAGGCGTAAGAATTCTACGCATTTAATATTTTTGTCATGACTAATTTTATAGCCTACAAAATTGTTGCTTAACATAATGAGATAGGACCTTGAGCTTGGATAGTTTATATATAATAAAAAACTTACATATATATTAACATATATAATAAAAAACATATATATTAGCATATATAATTAATATATATTAATATATATTAACAAATATATATTATTATATATTATATATTAACAAATTATATATTATATATTAATATATTATTATATATTAACAAATATATATTAACATATATAATAAAAAACTTACACATATATTAAAAAAATCAACATAAAAAAATAGCCTTATTTAAATATTTCAGGATTAAAAAATTAAAAATTCTTTCTTAATATGCCAAAGCATGCTTTTTAATTTTTGTTACTTAGATTAAAAGTTGCTATGCTGCACAGTTGCTATGAATGTACTAATTTTATTTACTCAAAAATAAAAAATCTTTTATCATTTTGAGGCGTAATTAAAATCGAATTTTGGCGTAATAATCTTAGTCAAGTTTAAGATTACTTTAGTAAAAACAGGTTCAAAATAAAACGTTGTTATGTGATTAATTATTTTTAAATCCTCTCCCATAGAGCATCAAAACTCATTACAAGCAATGTTAACAACATATTAAAACAAATACAAAATAAAACATATAAAAATGCTTTAGCAGTTGTTTATTTTAATGTTTTTTACAATTTTACAAACATTTTTGCATCCGAACTTTTTATTCAAATTACAAAAAATAAGAACACAATATTAGCTGTAAAATAATATAGTTAAATTATATGAGGAAGAAACAGCACAAAAGACTAGAAAGAAAGATCAATCTAGTTTTCAACTATACTTCAGTAAAACTTTATATTTGTACATTGAATTTCGAAATAAAAAATATTATTAAAGTAGGATTTTGTTTTCACCGTCATAATTAAACTTGAACAGCGACCTTAATGAGTTTTTCAAGTGTCCAAATTTCTAACTCCAGATTTAAAAATTTCAGTGTAAAACTGCTGCTCAAATCTAAAATTGAAAAAAAAAAAATTTAAATATAAAGGATATCGTTTAAATGATTATGTATGTATATATATATATATATATATATATATATATATATATATATATATATATATATATATATATATATATATATATATATATATATATACATATTTGAAGTTTTCAACCCCCTCAAAATGAGAGAGGTTGAAAGTTTATATGGTCATAATTTTTAAACACTAAAATATTTTACTATGAAATTTAAA